ACTAAATCTCCTTCCTTTCCTCACATTAGATGGACATATCTATTTTTTTAATAATGCCAGTAAATGGTGAGATGGGAAAGGATTTGGTTTATCTTTATTTTTATTCCACTTACAAAGAAGAAGTTAAAAAAAAATAATAATTAAATAACAATAATGGATGTAAATCGACTTCCTTTCTAAATGGATTCCACAACCAGCAGATGCTCTTCTCTGGTTCAGGTTTACCTCCATGTTCTGGTTGGTCAGCAGGTGGTCCATCTTCTCTATTGCTCAGGGTTTTTCTTTAGATAGAAAATGTTGAACCAATCGGACTGAATGATCTAAAGTCCCTTCAGATGACATGTTATATATATTGGCGCTATAGAAATAAACTGAATTGAATTGGTTGGTGGACTGAACAAAGCTTGGGGTTAGATTTAGATCTAACATTCCTTTAAACTCGACCAGAACTTCCACTCTGACCCGCCTGCTGGGTTCCTTACATTCTGACCAATCTATAAAGTTTTTAACTTTATGTGCAGAATCAGAATATCTGCAGGTATATTCCTGTTAAATGACCCACATATAGGTTCTGTTAGCAGACCTCTTTGGTGGGTTTTATTTAGCTGCATCAGAGAAAAGAAATGCTGACCACACTTTTCAGATTTTTTTCAGTCTCAAATCTGAAATGTTGCAGAAGGATCCAGCTTTCACTAAACAGAGGCAAGCTGAACACGCTGGACCCAGACAGACAGAATAAAGTGTGATGATAGAAAACCAGAGGCGTGGAGATGGATCCATCCAGCAGCTGCTGTGGTGTTGACTGTTTTTAACCCACTCTGGGTTAAAGACGATCCCTGATCCGCCTCACCTGCACCTCAGGAGAAGCAGCAGCACCCAGAACCCCATCAGGGGGGATTTTTACCCAGATTTCTTCTAGACGTCTATAAATCCTTGTGATATGAATCACCACCTGCTGGGACAACTGATCTGTTTGTTTTAGTTCTACATGAGTAGATCTCACAGGGTTTCTCTCTGATCAGGCATCAGTTTTTCAGATTTTTCTGACATGTTGAAGGTTTTCTCCCTGAAGAAGAACCGCTCTGATGGAGCTGAATCCCCTGTGGTCCACTTTGCCTCTTCTCCTGTCAGTATATCCTGAAGCGATATAAAAGGCCATCGTCTCACTGCGGGCTGAGAAAGGTCAGCTCTGAGGGTTTCTGTCCCAATCTGACAGCTGGGATGCGTCCTGTCGCTGAGCTTTAATCTACTGCCAGGAAGAGCTGAACACAGGAAGGATGGAGCGGTCTTAGCTTTTCCCCGTTCTTCTCCAAACAACACTTTCATCAGGTTAAAGACTGGCCTTTGACTAGGCCATTCCAGAACCTGGATTTTCCTTTATTGTTACTGTTTTGTTTTCAATGCAGCTTTTTAAACCTATATCTTGCTGCCATATTTTAGAGAGAAAAGGCTCCTTTGACTATTTCTGGTTGTACAGGATGTGATTTTTATAGCTAAGGATGCGTTTATCCCCCAGAGCACGTCAGCTCTCAGAAAGCTTTTAGGATCACGGTTTTATTTTCAGTTGGCAGAAGCCGACTGAAGGTATTTGTTGGAGCTTGCATCAGCTAGAAGGTGCAGAAATTGTTCACCTGTCCAAATGGTGATGGAAAGTTTTGTGGAAGGAAAAAATTGGCTAAGAAACAGAAACTGTTTGAGCTTGAGGGAAGAGGAACAGAGTCCGAGCTGTTTGAGGTACGGTAGGTTGTTTCCATGGTTACTAATGATCCGTTGGTTTGTTGTTTTTTTTTAGCACATCCAAAGTCAGAGCAGAAAATGTCTGAAATTTCTGCTTGAAGAGCAAACAGATCTGAAGAGAATCTGTTCAGTGCTGTTAGAGTCCGTTAATAAATATCTGAAACAAATTAATAAAACAACTTGCCTCTGAGCCACAGAGATAGAATAGAAAGACACAATGTCCATGTCCATAAAAAAAAAGATGGACACCAACCTGTCAAACACTAAACTAGACAGATAATGCAGACATGTTTTTTTGGTTTGTTTTTTTTCTTTTGTTTTTATGCATTTAATATTTTTATAAAATTTTACACTGAGAAAAAGAAACCTGATTTAGATTTTCATCATAAGAAAATCATTTGATTTACTGTCGCTGCCTAAAAGACCCACTGAGGAGATGGAGCGAGTCCAAATGGAGCTTCTGACATCAGCTCTCCCTTACTGAGGTCACATCACCAGCTAAGCCAATAGGAGCTAACCTTAACAATGGGGAAATAAAAATAGGAGCTAACCATAACCCCAGCCATTCAGACGCAGTAATCCTGGTTGACCTGAGGGAGGTGCCAAACAGGAAGTTTTGGACACTAAACCAGATGTTCCCTGGACAGCACTAAAGACATCTGTTCCAGTTTATTAGCATTAATGGTCGATTAAGGGGTGAGTTGTCCTTTAAGAAGACTCACCCCTGACCCAGAACCAATGAGGCATCATGTTCTATAGATGGGATTTGGACCCAGGGGTAATCCATAGATCTAAACCAGTGCAAGTTCTGCTTTCACTTCCCACTGAGGCTGGCCCAGTAGGAGAGGCAACCTTGCAGCTAACAGACTTGATGCTGCAGGTTTAGGTTTTGTTTTTTTCCTCTTTGGGCAGTCACAGAGGTGCTTGTTTTTTGGGTCCATCTTCAGTCCCAGTTAAATTAAAATTCAATGCTTATGTTAGCGATGGTAGTTTAAGGAAGGCTTTTCTTTCCTGCCGCTCCAAGATGATCGGATCATCTTCCAGCTTTGCCTCATTTTAGTTTCATTCTAACAAACAGACGTTCAGAAGAAAAGCTGCCCGCATGTTCTGTGAAAAAGACTGATGAAATAATTTAAATTAAAATGTGATTTTCTAGTTTTTAGCATTAATAAAATATTAATTTAGGAGTTTTTCCATTTATTTTGGTCCAAACGTTCAGGAAACCGATCTAAACCAAGTCTTAACTTGGATCATAGACAATTTATAGACGTCTAGAAGAAATCTGGGTAAAAAGTTCTGCAGAAAGAAGCTGTTTTTGTTCTGGGGCTGCTGGTTCTTCTTTGTCTGATTTTGAATCCCTCTTAAAAACTCATGTCTTTGCCTTGGCTTTCTAAACTGTGTGAGATATTGATTTAAGTCTGATTTAAGACTTTTATCTTAATTTTATTATAGATTTTATAGTTATGATTTTAATTTAGTCTTTTATGCTTGCATAAAAGACTAAATGGTTCTTTTAGTCTGTGTAATGGTGTTATGTCGTTTCACTGTACAGCACTTTGGTCCTTTGAGAAATTTTAAATAGATTTTAAATAAAGTTGGATTGGATTGCTACATCTTACTAAACAAAATGTTTTTCCAACCTGAAGAGTTTTAGATGAGCTGATCAGTGAGATCTTCAGGGTTCTGCTGCTGATCTTTATTTCTAGGAGAATTCTGGAACATCTTCAGGTTTTCTGATTTTATAAAACGTGTCGTGTTGATAAGTGGATCTCTGAGCTCTGGGAGGGAAAGCCCATCTGGACTCAGGGCTCCTCCATCAGCTGCTCTATCCAGGTCACCCAGTTCTATATAGAAATCACAAGTTGGAGGTTCAGTTTCACTAATGCAAACAACCGCTGCTCCCATTTTCTCTCTGTAGAAATCAGAATGTAGGACGGGTCCATCTTAGCCTGACGTAGTCCGACTCAATTCTAGTCAGAATATGAGTCTGATGCTGCTCCATAGAGCTGTGATTATGGGGCGTGTTTTGAACGAACCAGGAAAAAAATGCCTCTGCACTCAATTGGATAGATCTACAACCAATAAGAGCAACGGAGTGCGTGACGTATGTTAAGCCAGGCATAGTTGTTGTCAACAAAAATCAAAGCGTACAGTTGCACGCCTAGAATAAGAAGATGAGACTTGATCGCGTTTCTCTGTTCCTCTTTTAAAATTAATTTGCTGTCAATATCTTCTAGAACAGACCTAATAGCAGAATCTACTCACCTCAACTCTCCAGGAGCAGCCATTACTGTTGTCACCCAAGCGCACATTGGTCACGTGGTTGATTACGTGACTGTTGGTCATCTGTCCATCATCGTATAAAGTCCGCCCTGACAATTTGATTGGATCGCCTGACAGTGGGCGATAATACTCGCGCTACTATGGAGCAGAGCCAGACCGAACTTCCCGACCTCAAACTTTGTGGGCGGGACTAAGTTCGGAATGGCACCCAGGCTAGGTCCATCTGGGTTCTGCACATTTAACACCGAAGTCTGGGGCTGGTAGAACTTCTGGTCTTTTTTTCATGTAGCTGCAGTCAGAGATCACGGCTTCCATGTTTATCCTCTGAACTCAGTTGCTGATCAAACTGAAAACTTCAGCAGTTTATTTTTCCTTACAGTCAAAGTGTTGAACTGAAATCAACATTTATCGGTTCCGATGTGTCCCAGGAAATCTTTTGGACATCCGTCCAGGCAGCAGTCGTCTCGTCTGACCCAGACTGGGACCAATTAGAGGCTCAGGAATCTGCAGCTGTTTAATCAGATGTTTACATAAAAAATTCAGACAGAGTTATGAACTTTAATTATCTGTATCTGAAACAATCTTAATGTTTTGTGTTGTCTAAAAAAAAAAAAAAAAAAAATCTACTTCCTGTATAGGAGCGAAGAATTTTAGGCTTTAGCTGGTGGAAACTAATGTAAAAATCTAACGCATGAATTGTGTTAATTTGATCACAGAAGTGATTGAATCTACAGTTTAAAAGATAAACTTTAAAAACAATTATAAGGATTTTAATAACACCTTTAATCCAAACATCAGTTAAATGTTTAATTAGTAGTTAATCATCAGATAAACCAGCTGAGAAGATGGTGATAAAAGCTAAACATCAGAATACTTCGGGTTTTCGTTTCTCCTGGAGGTTCTGCAGGTTTTGGATCATCAGGGCGCTCTGACCTGCTGGACGTCTCATCATCATGGAGGAAAATAAAGACAGAAACCCAGAGAGGCCATGAATTTTAATGATTATTTTAGGATCAGGTTTACATGATTCTGATGAGGGAAAGAGTTGGCTTTGTTCTCAGACATTTTTATATTAAAAATACATCCTTAAAAATCCTGTTTACAAAAACTTAAATGTATATTTTCTAACCGTTATGAGCTTTGCTACAAAAAACATCAGAAAAAAACACTTCCAGATTTTAATTTCTTCAGTTAAACAGCAGAAAAGTTAAAGTTTGAAGCAGACAGCTTGAGGATAAACAGCAGGAATAAACCAGCAGATTATCCATATTTACAGTTTGCTTTAAATAAACAGCTTATATGGGGCAGTGAGAACATCTTTCTTTCCTCAGTAAATTGGTGAAGATGTGGGTCAGAATGAGCAGAATTCAGGTAGAGGAGGGACAGTTTGCTTCTTAAGTGCTCTGTGACATCTTTCATACAAACATTTTTTTTACTTTTAAAACCTGGTAAGATCACTATGGTAACAGCATCCTAAATAGAGGCGCTTTTAGGAGTCCAACACTCGGGCCGGACATGTTCTGGAATATTAGGACGAATCCGCTCTGTCGATCATCCTGAGTTTGGACGGGCTTTATTTTAGCCAGCTGACCAGTAGTGTGCAGCAACAGCTGGGGGAGGGGCAGGGCTCTGGCATTTTATCGGCTCCAAAAAGTGACATGATGGTGATTTCTATAAATATTTATTCGGGATCCCTAACAGGTGATGCGCTCGGTTACCATGGTGATTTAACCAAAGTTAGAAAAAATAAAAATGTATGCTACAAAAGTCTATGAACGTCGATCCTGAATATTTAGGCATCGATTGGTTAGAAAATGCCAGAGTCCTCCTGAAGGACCTCAGCTCTCTCCCCGTCTCCATGTAAGACTTCGGAAGTGTTTCCTCCCTCCTCATTGGCTGGTCGTCATCATCATCTTAACGTCCGTTGTAGATAAAATCTGAGGAGACATGATGATAAACTTAAAGAGGTCCTGCTGCCTCATTTAGGAAGCTGAAAACATTTTTAGAAATCAAATCCAGGAGCAGGAAAGGTTGGATTCATAAAGTTTCCTGCCGTGAGTCAAAGGATCCAAACGGAAAACTGACGTTTAAATTGGAACGAGGTCCTAATTAGCAAAAAAATCAGTACCATTCTGTCTTGATCCAACTTTTTCATTTACATGATTGCAGCTTTAACTATTAACCGATTCCAATGTTAACCGGAAACAATGGCGGCACAAATCATAGGGTTTTTTTTGTGATGGTGGTGGTTAGAAATGATCGAGTGATTTTACTCATAATAATGAAGAAAAAGCTGCAGGATTTCTTTTTAACTGTGGGAGTCGTTTATATATGAAATAAAACAAGAATGAAAAGTCATTGAAATACAACATACATCAACTTTACTTTTAAGGTAATTTAAGGCTTTTTTTTATCGATTGTCTGAATCCACACTGAATAATATCTAAATTAATGATTATTTTGCAAATCTATTCATCTGTCGATCATTTTTTCGATTAATAATCTGATGGAAAAAAGTTCCTCAAAGAAGATTTTTTTTTGCAAATTAAACCAGGTGAAACTAAAAATTTTCCACTTGAGGAGTTCTGGATAGATCATATTGACAGACGAAAAATCTTTTTATCTTAAATGCAGAATGTTTCATATTTTTGTTTTTTTACAATTTTGGTGTAATTACTGTTTTAAGCGGGTTGCTCTGTCAGGCAAAAGCATGTTATAGAGTCTCTACACTCCAGTTGATTAGTCAATTACTAAATTAGTTGACAATTACTTCAATAATTGATTAATCCGATTAATTGATTCAGCCCTAAATCAGAGGCAGACGCATTTTTTAGACGAATGAGTGATTCAGGCTGTGTGGAAATCCGGTCATTATTTTAACAGTTTTAGATTTAAAAACGACATTTCCATAATATTTTTATCCCGCTTTGTAATCCAGGCGCGTTTAACTGTGTGAAAACAAAGCATCTTTACTCTTTCAGGACGAGGCGGTGCCTGTGAGACAGCGCTGAGGGAAGAAAGGAGAAACGGTAACGATTGCTGCGTCACATGACGTCACTGAACCCGTGAAAAACACAGAACTGTCACTGATTTTTCCCACTGAGATGGAAGTGCTGGAGCGTCTCCAGCTTTCTTTGTATGAAGAAAGAAATGTAACGACCAGTTAGCTTCATTAGCAAGTTAATTTCAACATTTCATATTTTAGACTTAGATTATAATTAGAATAAATATATAAATGATGCCATATTAGATGCTTTGTTGTGGCAGCAGGCCTTATTTTTCACCAAAGGGTCACATAAACAGTTTATATCTCAGATCTGAGATATTTTCTTGTTTGTGTTTTGGTTAATATTGGATCAGATCAGAACCTCTCGCCGCCTGCAGAAGGTTCTGCAGTCCTAAACCATGATGGTCTCTCTAAACTGGGCCTAGGTTTGACCCGTCCAGGTCCCCCTCCTCCCCCAATGACTGTTTTGGTTTGGTAGCAGAACCAGCAGATCTGGATGGATGGAGAAACTTTAGAAAATATGAAATCTAGCTTCTAACTTTAGCAGTTTGTTTAATTGTCAGTCTGGTTAAAGGTCTGTCATGTCGTGTCCCTAGTGGACGTCCAGACTGGACCCCAGAGGGCGGATGCTGGGTGGCCTCGGCGCCGTCGGACTCACGGTGGCAGTATTCTGGGTTGAAGTTCTCGTAGATGGGGTACAGAGGGTTCTCCTGCTCGCTGCGATGCTTCCTGGCTCTCAGGACGTCCCTCACACACTGATGCAGGAAGGCGTACTGACACTGAAAAACATGAACAGCGCCGTTGGTTCCCCCGCCCAGGGTGGACTGGATCAGACAGGGTTCTGGTTCCGTACCTCAGTCTGGACCATGTGCTGCCGATGGAGTCGCAGGTCGAAGATGCAGCCGTAAAGATCGATGCTTCCTTTGGAGTCCAGCTGCTGCAGAACCCGGTCCAAGGCGATGAAGGTCCCTGTGCGCCCGACTCCAGCACTGACACACACAGAACCCGGTTAACATCCAGAACAATACCGGTCTGAGGGCGACCGGTGATCGTCCCACCTGCAGTGAACGACGGTGGCTCCAGTACTCGGGGATCGGTCCACGTAGTCCCGGACCGTCCGGGCGAACTGGATCAGGGACTGGGTGCTCTCAGGAACGCCGTGATCGGGCCACACGGTGTAGTGGAAGTGTCGCAGCAAGCGGGGGTAACTGGAGCTGTTCTCCTTTAAAATCAGAAATGGGTCAGAGGTTCTGTTCAGTCTGAATGTTTACAAACAGGAACGTTCTGCAGGTACCGAGGTGATCCGGAACTCTCTAATGGTCCATTCAGGCAGGACGGACTCCGACAGCACCTGGATGACCAAGTCACCATAGTAGAGCGGTTCCTTGTCTGCAGGCCAGTACTGGTCACACTTCACCTGGAGACAGGAAACGGTACGTTTCTATGTAGATCATCATCACATAGAAACGCTCAGCAACACGACAGAGATATGATGAAAACAGTTGGACTACAGACTGGTTTGTTTTTAGGCAACCGTACCGAACGTCAATCAACCGCGGGAAGAATAAACAATGCAACTAATAGAGCCTGTGGGAGATAGAAGTAAAATTAACCATATTTATTAATTACGTTTTTATTTTATTCAAAAAACTATGTGAAAATGAAGGAAACATAGAAACAGGAAAAGTCAGTTTAACATGACGAACAAATGATTAATGCAAATAAAGTTCTTTCCCTTTAAAATCTTAGGTCAAAATGGCGGCCTTGGTAGTTCTAGAGTTAAGGAACTGACTGACTGCGTCCGCCTGTGTTGATGGTAATGACAGCAGAACATGCATGTTGGTTAATAATGGACAGACTGTTCTTACCCGTCCCTTCTCCTCACACTGTGTCACCATGATGACGTTGTGCACACCGTGCTCCCACACCATCCTCCAGAAATCGTCCTTGGTGCCCGGAAGCGGGCCCTGCGTGGCGATGTACTCCCTGCGGTAGTTGTTCCCCTGTGGAGAAGGAGGGGGGGGTCAGGACGTGTCTAACGGCGTGTGGAGCGTGTTCATATGTTCATGTATGTGTTCTTACAGGTATGTAGCTGGCGTTGATGTAGTCTGAGCAGGGGTCGTCCTCCAGGTAGGACAGCTTCACTCTGGTCGAGTCGACTGGAAACGGAAACAAACGTGATTCGGATGTTTCTTTCCTGAGATGCAGCCGTTTGCAACACGTGAACGACTCCAAACGAGTTCATTAAAACTGATGGGCTGCTCATATCATAAAACACATCATTAGTTCTCTGCTAATCCAAACAGGAAACTTTTAGAAATAAAGAGGTTTCTTCTTCAATACATCATTTAGAAATGTTCCCATTAATAAGTCTCATATTAAATAAACATTCATTAGTTTAAATACATTAAATATGAAGGTAAAATATGAAGCATTAAAGGAAACCTACACGGCAGGATGTTGTTGTAACGGTTCTTCCCTCGGTTCTCCGGCAGTCTGGCGACGTCCATCGTCTGGTTTCGGCCCACATCCTTCAGATCCTGCAGAAACCAAAGAAGGTAATGTTCTCTGGACGGCTCGCAGGGAAATTAACATCCGTTAACGACGAGGAGCCTCACTGACTCTGCCTTTCTTTCCTTTACTTCAGCAAACAGCAGATTAATGGATGTTTATATTCATAGCGGGAGGCAGAGGTTTCTGTCTCTATGGAGCTGATCTCAGGTCAGAATGAATTTAAATGTGTAAAGCTGAGCAGAGGCGAGCTAGCAGGAAGTTTCAATCATCCGACAATCTGATTGTTTAAATAACATCAGCTTCCTTCCTGCCATTAGTTGGTTTATTTAAAGGAAATCACCTCGAACTCCTCAGACAGCAGGTAGTTGGAGTCGGCCTGCAGTTTGCTCAGATGGGACTCGAAGTGGCACGCTTTGACAGGACTGCGCAGGACGGAGAGACCAAGACGTTAACAGGAGCTCCGCTTAATCAGAGATCCACAGTTTGAGAACAAAACTCACCTGGTGACTCGCCGATTACTGCGGAGAAAACAAAAAACTTCAGTTAAACTTTAATTCAACTGCTTAAAATAGAACCACAGCTAAACAATCGCTCTGATGATTAATTTTATTTTAGATTTGCCTCTAAAATTCACACCACATGTCATCTCAAGGCACTTTCCAGTTCACCAGATCGTCCAAATTGATTCAAAGTTTTCTATCTAAGGAAAACCAGTTGATTGCATCGACTCATTGACTTGAATTCAATCCCTCAGCTCATACAGTAGTTGTCCTTCAAAATTTCCCCACTTTCTTTGATGGGCCAAAGGAAGCATGTGATTCTTTGGCCTAATTGGGGTGAAAGGAAGGCAAGGAGTGATAAAATATAAGTGTTTAAAGTTTCCTCATCTTCCTTCATGCCGCAAACAGAAGTGCGGCATGAACAGAGTGTTTATCTACGAATGAAAAATTATGTCCTTGATGAACCGAAGTTGTTTTGCTCCAAATGTTCATGTGTGAGGAAGTTCCTTATGCTGGGGTGGGATGGTCCTAACGGAGGGTGTGTGTTGGGATTGCTGGGCTTGCCCCAATCAGAGGTTTTCTCTCTGTTTAAGGACGTAAAATAAATGTGAACTTTCTTTTGAAGGGGTTTTGGTTTCTCCACAACTTCATAGGCCTTTGGCTTTTCCTTTGCTGGTCTCGTACAATTCCTTTTTAAATATCAATCTTAGTACTAAAATACTCTTTCTGTCATGATTTGTGGACATTAAGGTCTAAAGAGAAGCGTCATCTCCTGGTCAGACCCTGTAATTCAGTTAAAGGGTGGAGTCAGATAAAAAAAATATGCACGTTCATGAGAAGGAAAGCGGCTGGAAGTTGGAGGGAAGTCTGCTGCCATTTTGAACGGCTGCTACTGTAAATATTGTTACAGTCCTCAGTTTTCAGGTGATGTTAATCCCAGCTCTAAAAGACCAATTCATAAATAACTGATGTTTTTTCTTGACCGTTTTAGTCTCTTGAGTTGCAGCTTAATTTTAGGTCGAGATGATTGGTCAGTTAAACTAACCGATCAGATCAACTGTAGACACTGATATTAATGCTTGGATTCTGCCACATTTGGGCCTCGGTGATTTTAAAGGTGAAAGAGATGAAAATATTTCATCCATGTTTTACTTTATTTCCAGACGTTAAGTTTCTCAGTAAACTGTTGGGCTGACGGCGCCAACACTTTACTGGAAACTGATGCTTCCCACAGTCACATGTTGGCCGTGGGAGAGTCCGTCTATTTCTGGAATCTAACTCACCTCCTCACTCCCATATATATCCCTGAAGATGGGACTTCTTTCCACATACTCATCCTCACCACCGGGTTCTCCTGCACAGCCCTGCAGACAAAGAACCAACAGATTCACTCTGAGCAGAAACGGTTTGAATATTTCTCTCAGTTTCTCATTTTTTTTTCGCAGGGACTTGATCCAACACAGATACCAGGTCTTTGCTGCAAAGCTTCTCTAAAGCCCGGCATAAACTGTACAATTTTTCAATGGTTGCACGCTGCGGAGTCGTTTTGTCGTACAGTGTAAGTTCACAGCTGACGATGTTTGTTCTCACACTGTGCGACCCGATACTTTGATTTTCTCCCGACCTCACGATTCCTGATCGCCCCTCGTTATCCCCTGGACACTACATGACTCACAATAAGGCTGAAAGTCGACCCGATTGAAAAATTCTCGCACGACTGGAGAATTGGCCCAAAAATGGCAAAAAAATCGTAGAGTAAGCCCGGCTAAAACGGGTCTTTAAATCATTCAGTAAAATTCTCCGATCATTTGACCTAAAAAGAGAAAACTGGGACCAAAGAGAAGCAGCTCTTTTTTCTACTCACACTTTGCGCAGCCTCTGGCGGTACGCCAGCAGGGAGACGACGGCCACCATCATCCCTATCAGGAACATTCCCGCGCTCAGGCCCTCCACCACGCCACCTAGAGGCTCTGACAGAAACCACAGCGCCGGATGAGGCCCGAGCAGCTTTAGGGGTTTGATGATGGTGTGAAGCGTGACTCACCTGCGTGCGTCCTGAGCGGTGAGGACAGGTATGTGTCCGAGAAGAGCGGCTGGTCGACCTCTCTGTGGTTTTTATCAAACAGCCTGGTGAAAGCTCGCACGCTCAGCCTGCTCACACACACACAGCATCAGAACAGCCGGCCTCCTGCCGCAGCTTCATCAGTCAGAGTTCTGTTCACCTGTAAGACGTTTTAGGTTTCAGCGGCCCGTCGCAGAAGCATCCATAACCTTCCCCTACGTACAGGTCATCGTCGTGGTAACGGTCGCAGACTCCGCCCAGTCGCTCTCCGCCTGCCCCCAGATTCACCTCCACCACCTGAACAGTTGATGAACGATTATTTTCAAGTCTCCTGATGGTGGCGCTGTGAACGCATCGATGGCAAAAAACAAGAAGTTACAGCGTCCGTTTTGTTCGGCAGACGTTACCTGCCCAGCAGAACTGTCTGTGTCCTGAGGACAGCGACTGGGGAAGTACGCCGTCTGGTACGCTCTGACGGAGGAGTTGTTGATGTAGTCGCGGTACGAGGGCAGCGGGTGGCGCTGTTCTGGCTGCAGAATTTCATTCGCTGTTGAGATAAACAATTTTTAGCTTTATTCCAGGAAGATTTAACCACGTCTGTCCTGCTGGGATTTAGTTACAGGGAAAAACCAGGAAGGTTGAAGGATTTATTTTCACTAATCTGAAAAGTGTGGCCTGCCCTTGATTTAAGGCCCAAACTCACATTCCTGTAGACGCACTTTGAAGCACAGCTGACTTTAGTTCTGGGCTTTGACTATGCCATTCTATAAATGAGGCCAAACCATTTTATTTAGCTCCACCTGTCGGGTTGGCGGGGGGGGCAAAGAAAGCCTTCCCACAGCCTCATGCCGTCACCAACATGCTTCACAGTAGAGCATGTGTGTTCAGAAAGTATTCAAACTGGACCACAACTTTTCGGACGCTCTAAGGCCAGAAACAACAGCCGGACTGTTTGCTAATCAGAAGACTTTAAAAGCCGTTTCTCTTCACGAGGGCTGAAAGGAAATGTCTGTTGAACTATTCATGAAATTTATGACTGAATGAATTGATGAATTATTGTCTAAAACAACAATAAACCAACATGTTTGACTTTCCACAACAGTGACATTAAATGTAATAATACTGTGTTTTTAGATCTTAAAACGACTCTACTTAAAATCTTCTAACACATAAAAGGCATCAATCCCCTTTGAGAAAAAAATTTGTCTTTATTAAATAAAATCTCTAGAGATTGTGTAAAGTTTCTGCTTTTAAATGTTTTATTTTGGGGTAAAATGGCACAGGAAGCAGACTCCTGGTCTATCTCATAATATCCTGTTAGGTTTTGTGTTGTTTATGGTTCAAATGAGACAAAAGCTGAAAAGGTTTCACCCCAAGCCAGCATGTTTGGATTATTTTGCTTAAAAATGTTTTTTTTATTTATTTATGGAGTTAAACTACTTTTCTAATAAAAGATCTAAATGGCCTCAGAGTTGAAGAAGCAGCCGCCATGTTCTGGTCATCCTTAAAAACTATAACTAAGGAGACTTTTCCTACCGTCCGACTCGGCCACGATCACAGCGAAGTATCTGATGGCGCCGTTGGCGTCGCTGAACCAGGAGCAGTTAAAGCGGAAGAAGATGGAGGACGACGTCAGTTTGGACGACTTCTCGCTAACATGGATGCTGGGAGGCGGAGTGGGAGGACCTGAGGGGGAAGCTCATCGGTTAAACATCTTTGCAGAGATTTAAAGAAACCTGAAAACTTTAAAAATAACCAATACTTTAAAAAACTTCTCAACAAATACAGACAGTAAATCAGTTTATTTCCTCCATGCAGACTCTAAGGAACCTCTGGAGGATAAAAGCTTCCAGCGTCATCTCTTCTTCTGCTAATGTCTTTTTTTCCCCAATGTCCTCGTGTCAGGATGATTTATGATGCAACGCAGGCAGAGAGAAGAAGAAGAACAACAAAGAAAGAGGAAAAAGGTTGTAAAAGAGAAGAAATGTTGGTTTGGGTCACAGTGACTTCATCTCTGAAAGGTCAAACTGAAGAAATAAAGCGATTCATCAGAGACGGAGCGTTATCTGGTAGACTGAGGCAGAACAGTGGCGCTGTTCAACGACCTCAAGCAATTAAGGAAGTTAGAGCTCCCAGAAAAGATGCTGCAGATCCATGTGACGATGTCATCAGTTGATTAATGAAAGAAGGGCTTTTCACAGGAAGATCTGATCAGGAAGCTGGGTTAGAATTCAGAAAATAAGATCTGAAAACAATCGAGCTTTAGTGGAGCTTCGGGAATCTGGTTGAGATCTTTGGAGTCAGAACTCTTAAAAATGAAGGAATCTGTTTAAATCAGTAGGAATTGGAAACCTGCTTAGAGTCAAAACTCTACATTAAAGAGGCTCTGATGAGGCGGTTGTGATACAACATTACATGGAGTGTCCTCTGTTTCCGTTCTCCTTAAAGCCAATCACGCTGTTTTATTTCCCAATTTAGTCAGGTGTTTTTGTAGTTTTGTGCATTAAACAACAAAAAAACTCCTTCACTGGGTTCACTACACACATTAGCTTTAAAAAAAAACATTGCCTGTCCGTTTGACGAGGATCTTATTAAAGAATGATCGGCACTTTTTCAAAGACAATTAAAGTCGTAGGGAAGCAACTGTTCCAACCGTTGCATTTTCGATTTCTCCCAAGTGGTGCCTGACTTTACACGAGTGAATAAAGTGAATGTGATTGGTCGTTTATCAAGGTGGAGGGATTGTTGCGGTGGAAGGTTCCCAAGCAAGTTTGGTTGTGGCGGGTTTCTCTGAGGCATATTGCTAACCAGTTTGCAACTTAGCGCTAGTAGGTTCCCAATGGGAAATTCCATTGGGACCAAGTAGCACTAAACTGGTGACTTAGAAACGACACTGTCAAGGAACGCTATGGACAGAGGAAACATGCAAGAGGAGGAGAGTTTAGTGTCGGAGGTCGTGGATGAGTCTCCTCCATCATACATTTTTTATTTAGAGGAGGAAAGCGGGGATGAAGATGTTATGGAAGAGGACGCCAGGGCGGCAGAAGCTTGGTTTGGTGTAGAAGGCTTACAGCCGTACATGTTTGAGCCCTTGCCTCGCAACGCTGCCAGTTCTGTTAGCTCTACGCCTGCTGAAGACACAGACTTCCATCCCCGTGAACACTGGGACGGAACTCAATGGGAAAGGATTCTTATTTCAACCGGTGCGTATATTAGCTGCAATATATGAATCAAGATGCTATGACGAAAAAAAATGTGATTGACAGATGACCGTTGATATATGATTGGCTGAATTTAGGTGTTCAGGCTGACGTATAACTAACTGGCCTGCAGAAGATAACAAAAAAAAAAACGATTTTAAGACAGGATTATTTTTTAACGATAGACTTTTTTTTTACTTTTGGGACAATATAGTCCAATAAAGAGTATATTTATATACATGTTTAAGCCAGAAAGATTTGACATTTAAATATGATTTCCCTACGACTTTAAAGATTTAGGATTAGGATTCACTCGAAGATAACAGCCTACTGAGCCTACTGGCAATATCTGAAGCCATTCTATGGGACTGATAACCGCTAATAACGATCATGCATGCATGCGTATTACTAAGGGTATGCTGGAGTGACACGGTATGCTGAGCTGATAGAACATTGGGACCGTGCTCCCTTTTCAGGAAAATTACCGCAGACTAGCCCCCCCAGACGTCCCACCTGTGAGACCAACCAACTGAAGGAAAAGCTGTGATGCAGCAGGTCAACCCCTCACTGTCGTACAGCTTTGAAAGCAACGAGCCCTCTTTTCCTCAGGGCTTCTGGGCTATCTGGAGAGACAGATTCCACGTGGGATTATTTCTAGAAGTAAGCTAATAAAGCTCCTTGTCCTGCCATCAGAGCCACTGAGCGCAGTGTAGCGTCACCGCGGGTGAGGAAGCGGGAGCCTCTGCCTCATAAACTATTGTTTTGTTCCACTGAACAAATCTTTCCCACACAGCGTTGCAGTGGGTGCAGTGGTCAAATCACAGGGGGACGCCTCTGTAGATAGCCGTAAGTTAACTACATCAATTAAAGCCCATTCAATTCCCTCGTTGCTTGCCTCAGACTGATCTAAATCTCTCCGAGAGCTGGTTTTGGAGACGGACTGATCCTGCAGGTTCCTTAGAAGAGGCGGCAGAAATGAGACGAAACCAAAGAAGTTCAGCAAGGTAAGTGGTGGAGAATGATCTTAGTTTAAATCAAACTAAAATTACCTGATCTTTAAGTTCTAAAAGAAAGATCAGAGGCTGCTTCTCCACCCTTTAAGCTTGATGATTAAAAACAAAGTCTAGAAGTTGCATTTCTAAGGGGAGAACAAAGCCTGAGCTTATTTTGGGGAATCTTTGTGTCTTTGAAGCTGGTTTTTCTCTGCTTCAGTCTGGAACCGATACAGATGATTTCAGCCCTGCTCTCCCAGGTGAGCAGACCCATTTCCACGCTGCTTTTATTTAAAAACAAGCACAATGTTTTGGGGTTAAAGGTTAAACGGAGGAACTCACGGTCGATCATGGTGACGATGGTCCGGGTCACCGGTGGACTCATCTCTTTGGCCGACAACACTCTGATGGTCACTGCGTACTTCCTGAAGGCGCCCAGCTGATCCAGTGTTACCGCGGTGACGCCCCCATCCAGCTTCAGGACCTTGGTCAGCTCCCAGTTGTCGTGTTGATGACATTTGACCTCATAGGAGTCAAAGTCGGCGAGCGGAGCCATCCAGGAGCAGGAGAGGGAGGAGGAGGACAGAGGGAAGCAGTGGATGGACCTGATGGGAGACGGACCTGCGGGAGACGTGATGCAGTCAGAGATCTGAGAGACTAACTCGTTTTCACAGGAAGTATGATAAAACCGGTCAGAAACACTCAGAGGATGTGTTTGAACCATGAGGGCAGAGCAGAGATGAAACCCGACAGCTGACGGTGAAAAGTGTGACATAAATCTGCTTTAACAGGCTGACTGAAGTAAACAGAAGCAACTGGGTCAGACTTATGAATACTTTAGAAACAGAACTAGATTAAAAACTGGATTCAACAGACAAACAACCAGAACAGCTTTTCCTCTGCTGCCACCTGCTGGCCGAACTAGTAAACGTTTGTTTTTCCATTTTGGCAACTATTAAATAACTACATTAGATCTAATTATTTATTTTTTTTTATTCAAATCATGTTTAGTTTTTAAACTATTCTTTAGGTTTATATAACCTCCCTGGGATTAAATAATCCCACGTCCCTCAAAAAATATGTAAAATCAATTGAAAATGATTAAAGAGAAAAAAAAAATACAAATAAAATATTTGTGCTTTTTACACATTTGTCTAAATATCTAACATTTTAAGTTATCATTTATTGAATTAGTTTAAGGAAAAAGTTTTCTTCCAGTATTTATTTTGGTTATTTAGTATTTTTCATTAATTCTATAATTTACCGGCTTCAAATAAAATTTTATCTTCACATTAAATTATTTGATTTAAGATATTAAATATAACAATCTCAGAATTGACTGAACAGTTTGTGTCTTAGGAAATTAGTTCCGCCTACTTGTTCTGACGCTCATCTGGATTGGCTGGCTGCTGGCTGTGGGGTGGCCTCTGGCTCCGCCCCCACTGACTGTCGTCACGGTGAAGTTGTACTTTCGTCCTGGAAACATCCCGCTGACGATGCGTCTGGTTAGGTGGGTCTCTGTGATGGACAGAGGGTCCTCTGGCGCCCACTGTAGGCTGAAGTTGTCATAGTCTCCGGAGGCGGGGCCAGACCACTGCAGCTCTAAGGAATCATTGGTCGGGCCTTGTCTGACGGACAGGTCAGTGGGAGCTTCTGGCGCTAAAGGGAAGAAGAACAGCACTGAGTTTCTAACTACAGAGTATTTAGACTTTTATTTTTTAAACAGACTTACAGGTTCGTCCTAATTTGGAGACGCTGTTGGTCCGATCCCCGCTGCGTGTGATGACCTCAGCCTGATACAGTCTGCCAGGGATGAGTCCGAGGAATGTGTGACTCTTATGGTCCGAGCCCAGCGTCTGAGCTTCCAGAGTGGATCCAGAAAAGTTGTGCAACAGAACCTTCAACCAGCAAAACAAACAACGAAAACATTTAAAATTGTGAATCTTTGCTACATTTTGTTTATGATTTTCTCCACGATTTAAAGTTTTAACATGTAGAAACTTCCCAATTCTTTCTGATGACAATAGAAGCAGATTAAGCTGATTCTACTTTAATCTGACAATTTAATAACCAAGTGGATTTTAGTTATAAAATCTTAAAAGAAATCAACTTAACAAATGTTGTTTTACGATACCCAGAGGTTTCAAACCTCCCAGTTAAATATTTTTATTTTTCTCAAGAAAAAAAAGCAACTGGTTTATGGAAGTGATTTGGGACTGCTTTACCTTTATTTATTTATTTTTATATTTTTCTTTTGTAACATTCCTCTATTTTGTTTATTTATTTATTTATATATTTTTTTTATTTAATATTCAGTCTTCACATCATGACCTATTTTTTACTGGCTTGTTATTGTTTTCACTAATGTTTACACACAAAAGCTTTACTGTTATTTGGTTTATTTTTTAATCTTTATTTTTATTTTATTTTTTGCCCTTTTCATTGGAAAATAAAAAAGATCTTAATTGAAATATAAAGGCATATTCTTATATTATATTTGTATTCAGCAGTATTCTTTTTGAACAGAAGTACCTGAGGTGAGGATGAGGATTTTTTAACCTAAATATACAAAAAAAATTATTCTTTCTAAAACCAAACAAAATAAAAACCCTTTTATTCTAGATAGATAAATATTTAAACAGATGAGGATGAGCTGTTGTGATGCTTTACACATCTAGTGTGGGTGGCATATGAGCTCCCTCTAGTGGTAGTTAACTATATTTCACTGTTTAGAATAGAATACTACAGCAGAAATGAATTTAGTGAAAAATGTATTATTTAATGTTTGTATTTTCTTCTCAGAGGAGAATTTATATGTTTTTTTATCGAGGAACAGCTGCTTATCTCAAGAATATAAATCTAATAGCTTCAGAAATTCACTAAATATAATTAAAAACCTAAAATCTGTTTTACATTAAAAATAAGACCAATAACAATTTGTACAGATATGTTCTACTGATTTGACAGCTGTCCAGAGAAAGGTCAAAGTTGAAGAAACAAATATAGAAAGCATAGTGGATGAAAAAATGTTCTATTTCCTTGTTTAGTCGAGAGATTTTTTAGTTGTAATTTTGTGCAATCAATCAAAAGAAAATCCTTAACTAGGTCAATTTGATACATTAGGCGTTTCCTCGTCTTTAGACGAGGAACTTATTTAAAAACAATCAACATTCATTCAAAGACAATTAAACATTTATACGAAGAGGGTTTTAAAGCTAAGTATGGATGTCCTTTATATTCAGAAATTTATCTTTATCAGCGCTGCCGTTTCACCTCCCAAACAATCAGATATCTAGACCGTATCCATCCTCACATTAGCATCATTACACAGACTTCTTTATAGAACTTGATATAGGTGAGAGAACATTAATATATGATAACAGCATTATAGAAAACCGCTGCACAGCCAGTAATGGAAGACCGAATCAAACTGAGGAGGAACCCCACGCGACGACGCACAGGTCCTATCTGTTAGAACTTTTTTATTCATCTTCACCTGCTGATAGCAAATTTCACTTATATAGATAAATTGATCCACTATTCAACCAGTAAACTAATGTAACTAATATTGCTATTGTGATTACAACATCTATGGCAGGCCTTTTTCATATTAGTTTGCCTGAAAATGTATTTTGATATCTGAAATAAAGTTTTTCTTGTCAAAATGAACATTTCAAATAAAATGACATTCTTTAAACTCTTTAAAATGAATGTCAAATCTCCATGTTCCTATTGTTGACGGTCATAACTTGTTATTTTGACCAAGAAGAAATGCATTTCAGATATAAATGTATATTCAGTCAAAACATGCTAACATTTGTAGATCTATAAAACTTTATTCTTACTAGTATAAGTTAGTTTTTTTGACAATTCAGTTTCTGATGCAAAAATGTAACTTAGAAAATGTATTATTAATAGGAATATGACTTTGACCATGAAGAAACCGGTTTTAGTGATCTACAAATCTAACAACATAGAGTAATCTGCTTTTAATAAATGCCTAAATAGCCTGCCATAGAAGTTCATATAAATACCCATGAACTCAAGCAGTAATCTCCCTCTCCTTTGCAGATGAAGTGCTGTTGCTCTGTCTTTTAAACACTTTCTCCGATATTTTTGTTAATTCTGCATCAAAATCTTTAGTTCCAGCGGTGTGAAATAGGCACTTCCTGTTTCCTGTTGTCATGGTGACTTGTTGATGATGGCTTTTCATACTTGTTACACATGTTTGACTCTGAGTGGATCTACTCCGAGTTGATTGAAATTACTTACAGCAGCCGTGGTGAAACTAAAACTCGGAGATTAAACCTTAGGCTAGATCAGTTCAGAGTTGAGGATGAGAGTCTGAGTTTGTTAAACCTGCTTTGTGAAACAGGCCTCAGCGTTTTATTATTTAAAAGATGTGAACCAATTTACCTGGTAGCTGTTCCAGCTTCCCTCCCCATGCAGCCAGCTGACCGTAAGCCTGTCGGTCCGTCCTGAACTATGAACCTGCAGAGATGACACTGCAGACGGGACTGCAGAGGAAAAGAGACGCGTTAATAAAGACGGAATGATGAGATCTGATTGGTCGCTGTGTTTGGGATGACCGACCGGTTCTGGAGAGAACAGAAGAGTCGCTGCTCATGTCCCTGCTACGGCTCACCACCAGTAGGCGGTACAGACTTCCAGGCTGCAGGCCAGAGAACACGCAGCCGTCTGCAGACGGACCGACCTTCCTCTGGTCCACCAGCTCATCCCTGACCTAAATACAGAACATCATCATAGCGGCGGAAATCCTGATCGGCTTGAAACGTCTCAACGGAGCCAGAACATGGTCACACCTGCTGATGCTCCTTCCCGCTGCCTGCTGCCCTGTGATTGGACGTCGCCTCGGAGATGCTGTAAAGCGACAGGTCATAAGTGTCGACGTGTCCATCTGAGGGGCGCCAGGAGAAGCTGAGGGAGGTGGTGTTCACCAGGACTGCGGTCAGGTTTTGGACGGCAGCAGGACCTGAAGCGGAGAACAGGTCCACTTTAACACGAACACAAATGTTCCTTCATAAACACTAAAGGTCAAAGGTCAAACCTGGTCAGGTCTGCTCACACAATCTGCTTCTTCTGGTTTGAACTAAAAACAAAATACCCACCCATAGTAACTGTTTCAGCCAATAGGAGGACAGAGGGGCTGTGACATCACTGGCTTTTGGGTGAAAATATGGAGTGAATTTTGTTCCAATATTGCTGAAGTAAAGAAGACATTCTTATATAGAAATAAAAAAAATGTAAAGCAGAAATAAAACTCTAAAAAACATTAACTAATTTTTTTTTCCAAATTAAAATTTTTATATTTTTTTTTACAAACTGAGTTCTTTTTAAAATGTGTCTCACAGATCATGTTCCCTTCACCTGAAGCTCAGGACAAACTCCTTGACCAAAACAAAAAAAACTGTTTGAAATTTGCTTAAAAACCTGAAAATGCAAAAATGCTGAAGTGTTTGTTCTGTTGTTGCCTATAGAGGGCGGTGTAGGCTTTCAGGCCAACTGATAAAAAAAGAATACCTTCTCTATAAAATAAGCAACTCACGGGTTTGTCCCTCGGCTGTGGCTGCGTCCAGCGATGGGACCCCCCCGCTGAGCGTCTCCACCTTCACCAGGTAGCGCTTCCCTGACGTCAGACCCTCCAGCTGCTCGCTCCGATGGCCCACCGCCACCGACACATTTCTCAGAACACTTCCGGCCTCATCCAGCAGCTGCAGGCGGAATCCGTCGTAGATTCCCACCGGCCGCTCCCAGCTCACCGTCAGGCTGTGGGTGGTGTGTCCGTTATCGGCCTGCAGGGCGGTGACAGCAGCTGGAGCTGCAGGACGAAGACAGGAAATGAGGAGGACCCCAGGCGGAGCTTTAACGCAGCACTAACGCAGGCTTACCGGTTCTGGCGGAGACTGTGCTGCTATTGGTCAGAATACCGCTCTGTGATTGGATGGTTACGATGTAAGCCTGACCTGGATTCAAGTCTAAAAACTCGAGGGACGAAACGTGTTTGGGGACGACACGAGTGTCGGCTGAAACGCGGCCCTGAAACAGAGAAATTAGGATTATTTTAGATAAACATTAACGTTCAGACAGGAAAATTCAGAAAAAAATAAAAAATAAAAAAAGAGCAACTTCAGCAAATGAGAAGACCAACAAAGGGTTAAATAAGAATCAGCAGTTACACATGCTGATCCTGCTGTGGAAGACGTGCTCGATAGGAAACGCTGCTCTGACTGGATTAGATCAAACCCAGAGGGATCCAGCAGCGGAGGACGACGGCTCCTCCAATCATCATCGTCTGCAGCAGCTTCACACCGAATCCAGGATGGTGAATCGACCTCAGGCTTCCAAAATGCTCCCTCCATGTTCGCATAACTTTAGCATGTCTGATCCTTTTCCTTTTTTTTATTATTCTGCTTCATTCTATCTATCTCTATTCTCCCATTCTGCAGAATCTGTTAGTTCAACGTTCTGCTCTCTCTGCATTTTCTCATAGTAGCTTCATCTGGTCTGTTCCTGTTTGGCTGTGACTCCATTCTGGAGAGAAATATCAGCTGTGCTGCTGCCATCAACACCTTTGTTTATAGATGTTGGAGCTTGGCCTGTTTTTCCAGTGTAGTCCTGTTTCTCTGACTGTGATTGGCTGGATGTGCTCTCTTCATCCTCTGACATGGGAGCTGGCTCAGAGCTCGTCTGACTGGCTGTACTGTTTCTTGGAGCTGGTTGAGAAGTTCCTTCTGTATCTCTGCTTCTGTCTCCTTGAACCCCAGTCGGCCTCTGCAGATGGCCGCTGACACTGAGCCTGGTTCTGCTGGAGGTTTCTTCCTGTTAAAAGGGAGTTTTTCCTCTCCACTGTCGCTACAAGCATGCTTAGTGTGACGGATTGCCTTTGAGTCACTGACTCAATGCAATCAACTGGTTTTCCTTAGATAGAATCAATTTGACTGGATGATCTGGTTGGATTGTAAAGAGCCTTGAGATAACATGTGTTGCGTGAATAAATAAACTGAATTGATTTACAGAGACGCCATATTCCTCGTCGTCAGGGTTACAGATCTGATTCTTTTAGAAATTGTGAATGTTTGATTAAATTAATCTCACCGTTGTTGATAGGGACACTTTGTAAAAGTCCAGGTCTCCTTGTCCCGCCGTCCACAACAAAAGCAGCCCACCAACAGAGTCAGTCCGGCCGCGCTGGGGAATCATCCGCAGGTTCCTGGCAGAGCTGGGAACTGGAACATAGAATCAGTCTGAAGCAGATCTGTCCTCAGCGCCGCTTTTCTACCAAAACCCAGCACTGCAGTCCTACCTGTCCGTCCTTCCATCACCTGAGCCACCTGAAGAAGCCCGCTGAACGTTGACACCATGATCTTATAGAGACGCCCCGGCGTGAGAAAGGTGAGCTGGTGATGATGCACGTCGCTGCCCAGGATGGCTGGAGGGAAGACCCGGGTGTCGTTAAAGAGCACGGTGACCTGAAGGTGAGCAGGCAGAGAGAAAGATGAGACAAAGACAAGGAAACACTTATTCATTGTTTCTTTGATTAAATCTGACCTCATAATGGTCCACGTCTCCAAGGGCGGCGCTCCACGTAACGTTCAGAGCAGCTGTTCCTGCGTTACTAACTGACAGATTCCTCACAGCTGCAGGGACTAGAAAAAACAAACCACCAGTTTAAAAAATTAAAACCACCTCCAGGCCGCTTCCTCTCCTCCAGTTCTGACTCACTGGTTCTGCCGTGGGTGGAGACGCTGCTGACATAGCTGCCGCTCCACGTCTCCACCGTGACGGTGTAGAGTCGCCCCGGTGTCAGAGAAGAGAAGGCGCACTCGTTGTGTCCGGTGGGGACGCTCTGGTTCTGCAGGACAGTCTGGTTGTAACTGATCAGAACCACATAGCGATCCAGATCCCCCGCTGCATGGTGCCAGTACACCTGGAGACACGAGGGAGGCGTTCACACACCTGCCGGGCTGCTAGACACTCAAACGTTTACCTTTTTATGCCGAAACATAGAAATAAGCTTAAATAAGCATATTCAGAGGTTCCTTTTAATGCACTTTATTTTTCATAAGGAAGCACAGACTACAAGTTTGACTCAGATGATTTTGGAACTTATAAATAATAGTTTAACAGATGTCATCAGCTTCTAGAACAGGGGTGGGCAAACTTTTTGACTTGCGGGCCAGAATGGGTTCTAAAATTTGACAGAAGGGCCGGGCCAGGAGCATTTGGACAAGCAATGTCATTAATTAAACCTGGGGATTGAAATGTATAAAAAAACAGACAATTTTCACGACCATAAGGCGCACCGTACTAAAAGGCGCAGTCTCAGTTATGTGTGCCATTTCTGTATTTAACACACACATAAGGCGCACCGGACTATAGGGTTTTCTTATATACAGGTACATGTCCTCTACTACTTTTAGATACCTCTACTGCGTATTTAAAAATACAGCGGGGGCAAAACTGAGTATGATTGTGCTTTATTCATTTATTTATTACAAAGTATTAATCAAACCTACGTGCTGGCCTTGAGACAGACACGTTGCTGATGACACAGAGCGCTGTGATCACTCCTAAATTAACTTAAAATCCTGAAACCTGCCGACGGAATATGTTCGCTTTTATTGCTGGTATCCTGGTGCCTGCAGTTTAAATTATGTAGATGAAAAACGCCTGCCAGCCACCGAGGTGAACCCGGAGGCTGCCCGGCCTAGAGGCTGCTGTTGAAGGGGTTCCTACTGTCGGTGTACCGCTGGTATGTGGGGGTCTGAGCGCCTCCGACAGATATAGTATAGGCATGATGATAATCTGGATGAACTGACTGCAATTATTAAGTTTTCAGGTGGACTTTCTCACTTAAAAACATATTAAAACTACTTTATTCCCACTGATCACATCAAATATAGCTGCAAGATTTAGATTATTTAGATGAAAAAACACCTGCCAGCCACTGCGGTGAACGCGGAGGAGACCCGGTCCAGAGGCCCCCTATGGAGGGGGAACAGATTATTTCAGGCAGCTGAAATATATGGTTCCCCCCCTTTAATTTTTGCAAATAAAATATGACCAAATCCACAGGATTTGTTCTCGGTGGTGAGTGGAATAAGCACAGTTAAAGACTTGCAGGTAAATTAATTTCTTCCCCTGTTATGGAGGGGGAACAGAATATTTCAGTAAGCTGAAACATCCATTATCTCCTCTCCTCCTCCCATATCTTTGGGAAATAAAGAGCAACTGTTTCCAATTTCTCTAAAATTGATATGTGTGATGTGGTATACTATAAATGTCCTTAATCCAGTAATCTGTCATATTTTACATTAGAAGGTGATTAACAGAAATTCTACTCTCATCTTCGCAGGACGTCTTAATTTGTGTGCCCTGCTATCAGCCAGTTTCCATCCTCTTATATCAGCAATGAAAAATTAAAAATACACTACGTGTTGTTGTGTTCGGTGACTGACGTTTATTTCTGTCAGGCTGAAGGGACAAAAGTTGGAGAAATACCGATTCTCTTGGCGTTTAAAAAAACACAAAACAGCGTGAGGACCTCGTTAATGTATTTATTTTACAATTTCTTAAAAAGAGCAACCGATTAAAATGGATGTTACAAAGTTGAGATGATTATATGAGCTGTTTTTACCGAAAAATGATCAGGAGCGCCTTATGAATGGTCAGATCCGCCTCTCTGGCTGCAATGCGCGCTCCCGACACAGGGGGAACAGATTTTCACGGGGAAACAGAATTTCTCACAAGACCTCTTCACACCGATGTCGAGCGGTTGAAGTTCCTTTGTCAGACCTCCCAGGATAACAGCAAGCACAGCGTTCATTCAGTCACAGATTAACAGCGATGGTGATGCGTGGAAAAAACCACCTGGTCTCCTCATACACCTGCCTCGCTGTCAGCTCCCAGATCAGCTTCTCTGATTGGTTGATGCGGCGCTTCCAGCAGCAAAACTTCAATTTTTCCATCTCGAGCAGCAGCAGCGCGTTGGCGGCGCGCTCCCGAAGCGCACCGATGTCGAGCGGTTGAATAACAGCGAGCACAGCGTTAATTTGTTTCACCTTGTTTTTCACATCAGCTGTGAGATGGGCACGCATGGAGTTACAGATTACCAGAGATGGTGATGAGTGGGAAAAAAACACCTGGTCTCCTTACATTCACCTCCCTCAGCCACGCTTTCATCATCTCCTCAATGAGGAGATGAGGAGTTCTGCATGGTGCATGGTGGTCTCAAAAGTCGCAGTTACAACACACATAGGGCGCACCGCACATTTTGAGGAAAAAAAAAAAAAAAGACGTTTATGTGCGCCTTACAGTCGTGAAGATAAGGTAATTTGGACAAGTTCGGCGGGCCGGATTAAAAAGCCTAACGGGCCGTATACGGCCCGGGGGCCGTAGTATGCCCATGTCTGTTCTAGAATCACATCAGACTAAGAGGAGCCGACTTGCTTTTCAGGTAAGTTTGTAAAGTTAGGCAGTCAAATATTAAGAGCAATATTTATGGTTATTTAGCGTGTTGTAAGAGAAAAATAAGAGGGTTATTTTTTCCAAGTAATTTTTTTACTTTGTCATTCATTGATTTATAAAAATCTTACTTGATTAAATAAATATGTAGTTTGGAGCTAAATATGTTTTTACCAAATGAAATATTTAGCTTGGAGCTAAATAATTATTTAACAAATTAAATATTTAGTTTGTTAAACAAATATTTAGCTCCAAACTAAGTATTTATTTAACAAACTAAATATTTAATTTGCAAACTAAATATTTAGTCTCCAGCTAAATATTTGTTTAAATAACTAGATATTTAGTTTGCAAATTAAATATTTGGTTTGTTAAATAAATATTTGATTTTCAAACTAAATATTTATTTAACAGAGTAAGATTTTTATAAATAAATGAATAACAGTGAAAAAATGACTTATGAAAAAAATAAACCCATTATTTATGTCTTAAAACATGCTAAATAACCATAAATATTTCTACGAATGTTTGACCGCTGAACTTTAAAAACGGCGCCCCATATTCAAAAAGCAGAATTGAAAGCAGAAGAGAAAGGTGAGCATGCTGCAGCCTTGTATTTGGCAAGATCAGTTTATTCTGTAAGAAACGCTGGTGAGACAATAGCTGCCATTGTAGCTAAGACGTAACAATGGAAAGCGACTGACATTTATAAAAATGGCCGGGAATCAGCGTCAGCGGCGGAGAAGACAGGTGAGCATGGGGAACGACCAGGACGTGTATTAAATGTGAGGACAAATAGTGCAGTCCTGATAAGACACACAGCAGGCTGTTTAGATATATTCTGATGTTAAAAGTATTTCAATTGTCAATATTTTTTTTATTTTGCCTACAAAAACATCAATTGTTTACTTAAAGGGATGAGGGGAAACTTGGAAAATATCCAAACATTTATAAATCCATATAAATATGGAGTTATAGAGGATGTATGATGTATTTGATGTATGTTGACTGGTTCTATAGGGTTTTTCTTTCAGGAAGGAGGTGCATTGAAATGAAATCAAGTGTTCAGCAGACGAATTAAAAAATACTCATCAGGCAGTAGAAAGAAATGCCAAAGGAACTTTTATGAGTGAAACTTTGAGGCTAAAATGTTTACTGACTTTGAGATAATTGTCTCTTCCGGCATGAACGGCGTTCGGACTTCCCACTGCTGCTGGTTCTGTAAGAAGACAGGGAACAAAAACAGATTGTAAAGAACAAAACGACCACAAACGAGTAGATGCTTCCAGGAAACTCTTACGTGTTCGAGCCTGAAACACAGCAGTGTTCTGCAGTCCGTTGCTCCTGGTTTCTATGATGACTGAATAGAGGCGTCCAGCTTCCAGGGAACTGAAGGAGCATTCAGGCCGTGAGCTGCTGGACACCACCAGCATTTGGACCGTTTGCTTCCCGTATTCAAGGCGGACCACGTAGCTGTCCACCAAGCCCTCTGCAGGACGCCATGAGACGTAAAGAGCATCTGACCTGTTGCTGTTGGCGACCACCACTCCTGAGACAGCGGCTGGGACTGCAAAACAATAAACAAAAAGGTGGAAACATCAGCTCCAGACAGATGGAGTCAGGATATGGCCTAGATATATTCCTTAAAATCAACCAGCAAATTATTTAAATTACCTGCTGGTTCGTGACAGATTAACCTTATGAGTTAGAGCAAAGTTTTAACATTCTTCAACCAAAACCACCTGTTTAAAAGCTTTGCTAGCAGAAGAAAGTGTCTCCCAGCACTGAATGTTGATTACACTAAAAACATGAGGCTATATCACAATTAGCGTAGACTTCGTCGAGAAAAAGTATCAAATAGTCTGACAGTATGTCAGAGCAACATACACCAACTTTAAAAAATTGTTTTACATCTCTGTATTTTTGGGATTGTAACTTCATATATTTTATAACATGACATTTAGCAAGGTGGGCTAATGGTAGCATGGCGATAGCAAGGTGGGGTAATGGTAGCATGGTGATAGCAAGGTGGGGTAATGGTAGCATGGTGATAGCAAGGTGCAGCAATTGTAGCATGGTGATAGCAAGGCAGGATAATATTAGCATGATGATAGCAAGGCGGGCTACTGTTAGCATGCTGATAGCGAGGCGGGCTAGTGTTAGCATGGTCATAGCGAGGTGGGGTAATATTAGCATGGTGATAGCAAGGCAGGATAATGGTAGCATGATGATAGCAACGTGGGCTAATGTTAGCATGGTGATAGCAAGACAGGCTAATCTTAGCATGGTGATAGCAAGGCGGGGTAATGTTAGCATGGTAATAGCAAGACAGGCTACTGTTAGCATGGTGATAGCAAGGCAGGATAATGGTAGCATAGTGATAGCAAGGCGGGGCAATTGTAGCATGGTGATAGCAATATGGGGCAATGATAGCATGGGGATAGCAAGGTGGGGTAATGGTAGCATGCTGATAGCAAGGCGGGGTAATGGTAGCATGCTGATAGCAAGGCGGGGTAATGGTAGCATGGGGATAGCAAGGTGGGGTAATGGTAGCATGGTGATAGCAAGGTGGGGTAATGGTAGCATGGTGATAGCAAGGCGGGGTAATGGTAGCATGGTGATAGCAAGGTGGGGTAATGGTAGCATGGTGATAGCAAGGCGGGCTAATGTTAGCATGATGATAGCAAGGTGTAGTAATGTTAGCATGGTGATAGCAAGACGGGCTGATGTTAGCATGATGATAGCAAGGTGGGGTAAAGTTAGCATGGTGATACCAAGGTGGGGTAATTGTAGCATGATGATAGCAAGCGGGGGTAATTGTAGCATGGTGATAGCAAGGTGGGGAAATGTTAGCATGGTGATAGCAAGGCGGGCTGATGTTAGCATGATGATAGCAAGGTGGGGTAAAGTTAGCATGGTGATACCAAGGTGGGGTAATTGTAGCATGATGATAGCAAGCGGGGGTAATTGTAGCATGGTGATAGCGAGGTGGGGAAATGTTAGCATGGTGATAGCAAGGCGGGCTGATGTTAGCATGATGATAGCAAGGTGGGGTAATGTTAGCATGGTGATACCAAGGTGGGGTAATTGTAGCATGATGATAGCAAGCGGGGTTAATTGTAGCATGGTGATAGCAAGGTGGGCTAATGGTAGCATGCTGATGGCAAGGCAGGCAAATATTTGCATTGTGATAGCAGGGCGGGCTAATTTTAACTTGCTCTTCAGGTTTGCACAGCAAGCCCACATGAAAAAAAGCCCAACAAACCCACTTTCACACCTTTGCACCGCATTTCCAGGTTTTAAATAAAACCCAACGCAGGCAAATATCTTAATGTCTCTTTTTTTTATTCAGTGATCTAATGGGTTCTTCTAATGTTATATCCTATAAATTAATTTAACAATGTGTAAGAATTTTTTTTTTCTTAAGTCAGTGTTTAATTCAGCTCAAACAATAAATTGGTAAAATATAATGATTCACTTTTAAAAAATTTGGCACATTGGAAAAAATATATATAGCCCTCCATGTTATGGACAAACCCTCTTTATTCCACAGAAAATGCTTTTTTTTTAAAGAAAATTGACCCTAAAAGTTAATTGCTAGTTGATCAATACGATCAATCAACTTTAGATCAATTCATTAACTTAAATCAATTGATGATGTGTATTCATAGCCATGTTTGATAAATGTCCTCATAAAACTTACAGGAATCAAGGGTCCCCACAACACTAGTTATGCAAGGATACACACACAGAGTTCCTGCTCAGAAAACTTATTATACAGCCACAATTTTTTCCGGTTATTGTCACAACATTGTGTGTCTGCTTGTGTGAGAGATTAAAGTCCTGGGAGGGTCTTTGTCCTTGTGGAACATTCCAAGCTTTCTTTTTTAGGCACGTCGGATATTGTGTTAAGCAGCGCCTGATGTTATCGCATTCTTTAGGAGAACTCTGACCCTGCACACAAATCACCACAGCTACATGTCAAAATAATAGCCCCGTTAATCCCAATTTTAAACAACTGTTTAAAAAGGTTCTGTAAAGAACTAAAGAGAAATAAAAATATGATTTAACAGATGGATTTGCTCCTGCTCTAAATTCTATAGATTGGCTAAATAAGCACAGAAACACAAATACCCATCCAAAGGTATTCTTCATGAAATTTAGCTTCTATGTGAAAATAGATAAATAACATTTTAGACTAGATTATTGCTATAAAAAGGCTGATAAGTAAGTGGGTCCAACTTACAGAGCTTTTATTCCACAGACCTTCTGCCATTGATGCCTTTAGCAAACTAAAATCTTATGCTTTCACAGAACAGCTCTGTTTATTACCTTATTATTATTACTTTTCTATTATTACTACATTAAATACAACCAGTGAAAGCATCTAGGATTTCATTTAGGGGACCAGAGTAATTTTAGGCAAAATCTGCTACTTTAGTTTAATTAATCCCATAAAATCCTAGTAAAATTAATTAAAGTCTGTGGTTGTAAAATAAAATAAATACATAAAAAGGTTTAGGAGGGATTATTGTATTTTAAGACATTAGTGGTAGATTAATTTGATAATTTAGTTCTATATATGCAGTCATGTAGGATTAATATGCCTTCATTTATCTTGGGTTTGATGCATCAGCTGGATTCAGGACTGACTTAAAAAACAGAACATTTCTAAAACAAATATAGTTGATAAAAATAAAAGTTAAAAAAGTTAACAAAAATTTATGTTTTTTTTTACATTTTTATTATTATTTTTTGACTTACTTGGAATATTTTGTGAGTGAGAATCAAAACAACAACACAGTACGACTGAGTAAAGGTCATTAACTCCAGAATCTTTAAATCTAAAAGCGATAGCTACAAGATTAACTTTTAGCGGACAAGAAGTGGCTTACTGATGCTCGCCAGGCTGCCATGTTGGCTACTGCTAACGCTAACCAAACCAAAATTTTTTAAGAGTTCAGAAGAAAAGAAGTAACCTCTGTGCAGCTTCTGAGCCTCTTCCCCTCCTTAAGTCGGCATCAAAAGCTTGCCTCATGTTCTTCCTCATTTTGCCTCTTTTTTTTTTTATTTGGCGTGAATCTGAAGAACGTAACAGAATGAATCCATTTCTCAGCTCCATCATGAAGCTGCTGGACCTGACAACAGCTGAGACTTTAACCTATTGATGCAGAATCCGTGGACCAGTCAACAATTATTAAACAATTATTAAATGTTTTATTAATTAATTAATTAATTAATTATTAAATTATGCTTTCATTCTGCACTCCTTTAGGCATATTACTGCAGAAAAACTGTTTCCATAAAATAAAGTTGTAGCTAAGACCTTTAAAATTCACTTTTTTTTAAAATAATCCATTAAAAGGATGTAAAGAAATTAGAAACATATGAAGCAGAAAGTTTTATTTTCTTATTGTAAAGTAAAGTAAAGCCTCTCATATTTTCCTCTGTAGCGTTTTTTTCCTGGGCTTCGGTCATATGGGGACATTTTGAAACGTTAATGTTTGAACATTCCTGCTCTGTTGATTGTTTGGTCAAAAGGCTCGCTGAGGTTTCCTGTTTTGACTTTTGATTGTGTTCGATGGGAAAACGCTGGATGGGAATATTGTACCTACACAATAAGATCCCGACTGACCAACAATCAAACACGGTTACATAAGCGATTGTGTGTTTGTTGGTCATTAGCTCCCCTGAACAATACGTTTCTAAGTACACACGTCAGAAAACAGGTCGATGGAGCAAAACTGGACCTGGACTCACCTGTTTTAGCCTCCAGGCTGGTGGGTTTGGACTGCAGCGGCCCGCTGATGGTGGCAGCCTGCAGCGTGTAGACGGCTCCAGGCTTCAAATCATTCAGAACCAAAGAAGTAGAACCAGCTGGAACTCTGTGGTTCTGAACAACAACACTGCAGAGTGCAAATGGAGTTAAGTTTGATACCAAACCAAAGTGTTTTCAATGCAAAACAAGTTTAACGCTGCAAACAATGAATTATTAGAACCTATTCCTGCCTCAAACCAAACAGAACTTCCTGCGTGTCTGTCTGCTGGGTTCCATGTTTGTTCTCTAATGTTCTGCATAAAGTTTCCATCTAACCAAGTCTAACAACCTTAGATCCAACTTTTTCACTTTACGATGTACTATATACCACACAACGAGAAACCTTTCCCAAGTGCAGCGGTCCAACTGCACTGTCAGATTATCACAGTTATTCTGAGCAGAATCTCAGAAGATTAATAATCTAACAGATATAAGATTGTAAGACTGGGTTAGATGGAAACTTTCTGCAGAGCTGCATGAAACTATTGTCTGGTTTGTACTTTATTCTTTTGTTGTGTGCTCCCATGCAAAAAAAAAAACAAAAAAAAACAGCAACATTTTCCCAATAAAACACATTCCAACTCCTGTCCGTAAGCTCCAGGGGTGTGAATACTTTAGCAGAGATAATTCTATCCTGACATGAGACAGAGATCCTCCCTCAATTATTCACCTGTTCTGCAGCAGAGTCAGGTTGTAGCAGTCCACGTCTCCTGGAGGTTTCTCCCACTGCGCCTGAAGGCTGCTGACTCCAGTGTTGCTCAGTTTGATCGTACTCAGCGCCATGGGGGCTGAAACACCGTTACCATGACAATGTTTATCTAAAATCTACAACTACAGCCTTTGTTTAAAAAGATCGCTTTTGCAAACCTGTCCTTCCCTCCACGGATACGGACGTGTTCAGTTTGCCTCTCCTTGTTGTCACGGTGATGGTGTAACGCCGTCCTGGCGTGAGCACGTTGAACGTGCACTCCCTGGTGTTCGAGTCCACCTCTCGCGTGCCGACGTCAGCATCTTCTGGAAGACAGCGTGGATTACAGAGGCAACCAATCTCAAAAAAAAACTTTCTGGGGGTTTGAGGTTACCATGGCGAATGGTGAGGGAGTAGCCATCTCTTAAACCAGAAGGGGCGTGGCTCCACATGGCGCTGAGCGAGGTCTCATCATAGTGACGAATGTGGAGATCTGCCACCGGAGCGGGAACTGCAGAGAAATATTTTATACAAACTCATTTCCAAAACAGTTAAGTCATATTTATTTTATTTTTTTTTCATTAAACTCGGAGGGACGCATTAAAATTAAAAGAACCAGATAAAAGTTGTCCTGGATGAGGCAGCTCTAAATTACAATAATCTATAAAATACATTTATTAAACATTAAAGGTAATTTTAGTGTCAGAATAAATCATCCAAACGCCAAAATATTAACCGTCCAAAAACTCGAGCACTGATTTAGCTTATTAATGAACAGCAGGGCTTCCAGCAGAAATATCAGATCTAACTGAAGGAGGATGAGAATAATCTGATACAGATTAACAGAGCAGCTACTTTAAAAAAAAAAAAAACAGAAATAAAGGAAGAAATAATCTGCTGCTGTATATTGTTAAAAAAATGTATACTGCAGAATTAAACTGCAAATTTTCCTAAACACTGTTTTAACCTGAACAATGTAGCATGTAAAGTGGAAATAATCTGCCTAACAGCCAAACACACTCAGCTTAAACGCTGTTTAATCCCAATCATACATCAAGGCTGTATTTGTTCAACAGCTCAAACACTCTGGAGCAGCAGGTTTTACTTACATATTTAATCCATATATCTATGGTCAAAGCTGTGTCAATGAATCAGGGCATAAACCACCCACTTCAAAATAAAAGCATGAATACATAAATGGATATATACTTCAACGGTCTCTTTAACCCGCTGTTATAACCATATTTAAACTTCCTCTGTATTATACAAAGGATCTAATTATTGTATTCCAGTGAATTTGGAATATATTACTGAACTATTTTACATTTTTCTGAGTATTAGTTGATATAAATCACTGATTGAAGCCAATTAAATATGCAGTCTTAATTTAAAGATTTAATTGTTGTTCATTTTGTTTTGCCTACTGTTAAGGCTGGACAATAAATCCATTTTATTGAGATTTAATTTGATTTAAAATCAGGATTTAAACATTTTCCTTGAGTTTCCAGTTTACCCAGTAATCAGTCAGCCTGTCACTTCCTGTTCTAGGTGTGGAGTCATAATTAATAAACCAGCTAATTATCCAACATCACTCACTAAAAACAATTTGTGTGTCATATTTATTTATAAGTTTATTTATATAACAGCTTCTATCTAGTTGAATATTGAATTCAGGTTATTAAGATAAAAGCAAGTTTCCATGTTATTTCTGTTAATTGTATTTCATTTTTCATAAAAAAAGGCAGAAATTAAAGCAAAAAAAAATGAGATCAACCTTTTAGAACACATCACCCTGTCTTACCTACTTTCATTATTTTTGTAATTTTTTACTGTTTACAGATTAATTTCTCCCTTTATTATTCTTTATGTATTTAAATGTCTTCATTGTTTTTCTGCTGAATGAATGATGTTTGTTAATGACCTGTGGATCCGTCACAGCTGCTCTCGGCCGTCAGTCCTCCACTCTCCACTCTCAGCGCGGCTCTGTACTGTTTTCCGGGTGTTAGTTCCGTCCCTGGAAAGCTGAAGTTCACCGCATCGTGGTCCAAGCCGGCACTGACCAACTGCTGCGAGCCGTCAAACAGGAAAACCCTGTAGCCCTCCCAGCGACTAGCGGGGGGCGCCCAGGTTAGGAGAAGACCGCCGGAGTGGGAAGGAGAGAGGCTGAGGAGCGTGGCCGGCGCAGGAGCTGGAGATCAAAAAGAAAGATGATGATGAAGAAGAAAAGTACAGAGGAGAAAAGCTCACTGTGTCATCGCCTCACCTGTCCTCACGATGCCTTCTGATTGGTTGGTTAGTGCGCCGCTAACAGACATCAGTTCGACCCGATAGGCCGAGCCGGGGGTGAGCTGGTAGGCGGCGACCTCGGTGGCATTTGGAGGCTGAGTGGTTTCCCGGAAGAAGGAGGTGTCATTGGAGGAAAAGGTGACGACGACAGCGTCAATGTCGCCTTCGGGCCGCTGCCATGACAACCTGAGGCTGGTGGCATTGTTTTCCGAGGTGATGTTGGAGACCGTAGAGGGCGCTAGTGAGGAAACGCAGTGTTAGAACTTTCCTCCTCTTCCACTTCTACTCCATCTTTCTTCCTTTCCTCCCCCGCTCTCTGGTCCTTTTTACTATCCCTCATTTTCAGCTTTCCTTCTGCTCTTTGCCCTTACCTGTCCGAGCCTCGATCGTCTGGCTGTTCTGAAGCCCGCCGGCCTCTGTCACCATGGTAACACGGTAAAGTCGCCCAGGTGTCAGGTCACTAAGGGTGTGCTGCGTCGTCGTGCTTCCTAACGTCTCGTTCTTTAACAGACCTGGAGATCCAAAGATGGAGACGATCACATGACCTGAATAACTCAGTCGCAGCATCAGGACTTCCTGGTCTGACCTTCAGACTTCAGAGTCGACTCTCATCCTCTTTTACGTGACTCATCGTTTTCAGTAAAAACCCTGAGCGCAGATTGTGCAAAGTCTAACTTAATGTTGATATTTGCGGCGCTCCTACTTACTGTCCTGATCCTGTGCTTGTTGCCGCAGCTGCAGCCTAAATCGCTGCGTCCTCCCTGGGCCGGCCTGCCAGGAAAGGCCCAGGCTTCTGTAAGTCCTGGAGGTCACCGCCAGGCCGACCACCGCTGAGGGCCCTGATGCAACAAAAAAACATTCAGAAACTGCTAGTAAATGCATTAAATCCTGTTTGCGACACACACACAGATCTGGTATTTCAGCAGTAAAAAGCAGTTGGCTTTAGCTCCAATCAAGACGTCATTGCTGAATCACAGAATAGGAACTCTGTTTCTGGGTCTTGTTGGAGATATTTCATCATCATCAGACCTTTGAAGTGGACACCTGTCATTTCTCAGGGACAGAAAACAAAGCCAGACTCTGAAGGGAGTCGAGGACATGGGCGGGTTTTTAATCTCCATGCATCCTCACACTGTGAGAGGACCGATGCTCTTCCTGCACAAATCTTCCTGGACTTTTACAAACAGATAAAAACCTTTCAGAGGAAGTCTGTTTTTACGAGATGTTTTTGCCAAAACCAGTCCATCACATCCTTGACCTGCGGTGCTCAATTTATCAGTGAAGGGAAGTCTAACCCTGGGATATGCATCCATAAACCCTGAATGCACCTGATCTTTGATAGAAACGCTGCTGAAGGTTTCTGTGACTCATTGGTTAATATTTAATGGGTCAGGCAATCTCACTCCTACTTTAATAATATTACTTGATCAAGCCTTTTCTAACATTCTGCAGAACACGTTAAGCATTAACAACATGTCTGGTTTATTCTGATATCGTATCAGGTCAATCGGTATCAAAGAATTAAAGAATTGTTTTGTTTTTTTTAACATCTCTCTTTTGACTGGATGCATCCAGCCTGCAAAAAAACAGATCTACAGTAATCCACAGATTTTAGCTCTCATTAAATAAGCATTCTAATTCAAAGTTTGGAAATTGATTGCTTCTATTTAGCTCTGATCTTTTTTAATACACTATAAGATATCTGATCATCTCCAGTCAGGACTCAAAGATGGAAGCGATACTGAAACATCCTGACTTAGAGTATCAATGATCTCCAGGGAGTCCCCCAGGGTTCAATGTTAGACCCATTTTATTTACATGATATCTGCTGCCATCTTGGACACATTTCAACCAAAGGCAGGGTCTTTTTTTTTTCCAATGCTTTGCAGACAGTTTTCAAATAAAAAAAGCCCCAATAGAAAAAAAAAATTATTTACTTCAGTTTGTAGCAGATTGTCTAGCAGAGTATAGATCAGGGATGGATACAAATTTTCTTCATCCGAGTCAAAATAAAACTTAAGTCAGGGTGTTTGGTTGAAAGAATTCCCAGTCACCCCCCCCCCCCCCTTTTTTTTTTAAGTCGTCTAAAGTCTGTAATTTCAGTGTGTTTTTAAAAAAAACAAAAAGGGGGCGGGGGTTCCAGCTGCAGTGATTTGTTTCACCAGCAGTGGCAGTGATCAATCAAGACGAGGGTGCTAATTATGGTTTTATACCTTTATTTTTATGGTGTTAAGTGAGAAAGTAAACCTCAGAACCTGATCTATGTTTATCAAGAAGAGGCCACTTTTAAAGCAGAGGTCACAGATTAGCAGACCGTGGTCTGAATCCGGACCCACCTGCTGGCTAATCCGGACCCAACCTGATTTAAAACATTTATAAATTACCGCATGTTTTCGGACGACAGTGTCTAATTTCACTTGTGCCGCTTCTCTTGTTAATACGGTAAAGCCCTCCAGAGCGTCCGGCACCAGGCTACACGTGATACGAATTTGCCAATGATCTGCTGTCAGTCTGGGTTGCTGCTGCTGCTACCGTACTTTTAGACACAGCAGGCAAACATGTGGCAAGCCGGGCGATGGGAAAGGAGAAGATGATGAGAAAAATAGAGCAGAGAAAGTGTGGACTGCTGGAAGAACTGTGGTGAACTGGTGAAAGAAAAGTGAAATGGTGCTCAAAGATGACCCTGCACATTTAGAGGATGTTTGGCTCAACCTGCTGCTGTGAAGCAGGATTCTCCACCATGACCATCATCAAAAATAAATATGGATCCAGGCTCAAAATGAGCGAGTGACATGAAATGACATGCTTAAAGATGAACCTGCACATTTTGAGTATGTTTGGGTCAACCTACTAAAGAAAAAAAAATGACAAACGGTCAGATCAGGTGTTTTATAAAATATGTGAATCACAAAATGGTCTATAAACCAAACTGAACGATTGTTGTTCTCTACTTCAAAAAACACTTAAGATTTTCTTTTATATTTTATTATTTAAAAAGTCAATGCATGGATTTTAAAATGGAAAAGTGTTCTATTTAAAAAAATTTTATTTAAAAAGTCAATGTATAACATAGATGCCTAAAAACTTCATTTTATTTCAGTGTTAAATTCTGTTTAAAGTAGCAGATTATAATTTAAAAAGTCTTCTGACCTTTACTGGTTGATGATTTTCTTTATTCAGACCCAGCTGAATTTAATTGGTTTCCTCCGGTTTAAATAATTTCAAGATGTTTCTAAGAGAGAAAATTCAGCAAACCCTTCCTCCGTTTTAAAGGAAAATAATTCATTCAATGATCAAATGTGTCACTTTATGTCATAGTTGTCAAAACTAGAGATATTCATCTTAGACTGGCTGTTTATGTAAACATAATTTAGAATGGAGTGACCCCTTTTCATAGAAATAAATATTAGACATGCACGGGGCACTGATCACAGAAGTCAGCATCTGCTGATCACAACATCAAATCCATTAATTATTTACCTGCTGTCTCATGTACATCGACATTCAATTACTAGGTGTTAAGATTATAGGAGATGAGAAAGTATCATGAACTAACCACTGTTTTATTTTAGGAGGCTGTGGAGACGAGCTTTTTAAATAAGAATGAAAGACAGAGAAAATATACAGTTGACAAATTATGAAACAGGAATTCTCTTAAAGTCGAAGGGAAATCATCTTTAAATGTCAAATCATTCTGGCTTAAACATGTATATAAATGTACTCTTTATCAGATCAAAAGTCGTGCACCACTTGGGAGAATTCGGAACTGCAACCATTGGAACAGCCGTTTCCCTACGACTTTAAAAGGTTTTTAGTTGACTTTTAAAACAGCAGCTTTCATTTAGCCCTGGAAAGACTGTTTCATCATCCTACCTCCACAGACCATCAGTCGCCTTCTCTCCTCACCCCGCCTAATCTGATCTTGGATTCTCTGCTCAGCTAGCCTCTGTCCGCTGTAACCTCTCCCCGTTCTCCTAGAGCTAGATCTAGTGCGCTGCCTGTCCAGTGGCTCCTCCAATCTACCGCTCTGGTTCCTTAGCTCTAAGGCACCTCTCTCTCTCGCTGTTCTAAAACAGATTCCCAGCTGCTCCTGTCTGAGCTCAGAAGGCCGTCTGCCCTTACCTCCATTCCGGACCAGGTGTAGGAGAAAGATGAGAGTCCGCTCAGAAAACAAACTCATCAATAGCACAATGACCAGCACTTAAAATGTGCAGGTTCTTAATGTCCAGCCGGTCACTGATTGTGACCGATCATATAAAAATCAGCCGATTTCCGAGCACTGGCAAAAGTCCAATAAATATACATATATTTGTTATATATTTGAAAATAAAAAAACTTTACTGTGCATTTTAAATTATTTAAATGGCCAGACCACAAAAATATACACGTAATTAAAATTAAAAAGACTTTTAATCTAAAAAATGTTTTAAATGGCCTGTTTTAGAGTCAGTATACCATTACTTTGGAAAACAATTGTTTAGAGATGAAATCAAGCTGAGGTTGGCTGCTCAGAGGCGCAGTGGGTAGTACTGGAAGATTCTGGGTTCGATTCCCAGCCCAGGGTCTTTCTGCATGGAGTTTGCATGTTCTCCCTGAGCATGTGTGGGTTCTCTCCGGGTACTCCGGCTTCGTGCTTTCGCGTGCTAGAAAATGGATGGATGGATAGATATTTTAACAAAAGATTAATCTGATAAATTCTTTCAGCCCTGGCTTGGATTGAAGTTTCAACAACTAATCATAAGATTTTAGACACTTTGCATTCATGAGACTCAAATATCCTGAACTATTGGTTATTTTTAAAATGAAAGGTTTCACCTAGAAAAAGAAAACTTCAAACTTTAACCCTCCTGTTAGCTTGGAGGTTAATTTGACCCCATTAACGGTTTAATGTCTCTATATAAATATCTGATATCTAATTTTTGGCTACATACAGGTGCTGGTCATAAAATTAGAATATCATGAAAAAGTAGATTGATTTCAGTAATTCCATTTAAAAAGTGAAACTTGTATATTATATTCATACATTACATACAAACTCATATATTTCAGATGTTTATTTTTTTTAATTTTGATGATTAAAAATGACAACAAATGAAAATCTCAAATTCATCATATCAGAAAATTAGAATATTGTGAAAAGGTTCAAAATTGATGGCCCCTGGTGCCACACTCTAATCAGCTAATTAACTCAAACCACCTGCAAAAGCCTTTAAATGGTCTTTCAGTCTAGTTCTATAGGCTACACAATCATGGGGAAGACTGCTGACTTGACAGTTGTCCAAAAGACGACCATCGACACCTTGCACAAGGAGGGCAAGACACAAAAGGTCATCGCTAAAGAGGCTGGCTGTTCACAGAGCTCAGTGTCCAAGCACATTAATAGAGAGGCGAAGGGAAGGAAAAGATGTGGTCGAAAAAAGTGTACAAGCAAGAGAGATAACCGCACCCTGGAGAGGATTGTGAAACAAAACCCATTCAAAAATGTGGGGGAGATTCACAAAGAGTGGACTGCAGCTGGAGTGAGTGCTTCAAGAACCACCACACACAGACGTATGAAAGACATGGGTTTCTGCTGTCGCATTCCTTGTGTCAAGCCACTCTTGAACCACAGACAGCGTCAGAAGCGTCTTGCCTGGGCTAAAGAGAAACAGGACTGGACTGCTGGTGAGTGGTCCAAAGTCATGTTCTCTGATGAAAGTAAATTTTGCATTTCCTTTGGAAATCAAGGTCCCAGAGTCTGGAGGAAAAGAAGAGAGGCACTTCATCCACGTTGCTTGAAGTCCAGTGTAAAGTTTCCACAGTCAGTGATGGTTTGGGGTGCCATGTCATCTGCTGGTGT